AGCACATCCATCCACCAACATCTTGCTCATTAGCTTCCCATCAACAAAACCTTTTACATATAAAGCCTTTAAGTGCCGATGCTTGACTGGCTTATCGAATATAGCCTATTGTATCACTGTCAACTTGGCAACTATCACCTCATACTCCAATTCATCGAAATCTAAATAGACTTCTTGATCTGCTGGAGCCCTGAATTCTGACAGCAACAGAAAAGTCATTTGAATATTAGCCGATGGTTGGCCCCTATCGGTTGTTTGTTTAGCACAACACACTTAAGGTCTACCAGATGCCTGAGCCTGTTCTAGCTCTCTATTCCTTAGGCGTTGCACCCTTTCTTTCTAGCTTCTTGTCAAACCTCCTGGACACCATTGGTCTTCCTGCCAAACATACTCTTCCTCATTACTTTCTTCTTCATAATCAACCCAGTTTTGATCGACAACTCGCTTCCTAAGCCAATCATGAACACTTCTATTTTTTAAGCGACGATCTATATTATTATGATGATACTCATCTCGAGCATGGACAGACCGGCAGTTGGCTTGAGATTGCCTAAACTCCCAATATTGCTCACTGCACTCCGAGTAGTTATTTCTGGTAGGCAATTTCAAACCTTCATTCCAGCAATGCCTAAAGAAAGGACAATTCCAATGCAATTCGGCTTGTTTTCTTTCATACATCTCTTTCTCCTGTTGATGCTGGTATTCTTTCTCTTCTAGCCGGCGCTGATAATCCTTCTCCTTCTGCCATTGCCATTTGTTCAACAAAATTTGAGATGTGACACGTGGCCATATTGCCCCATCCGTTGACATCTCTCCCTATTCGTATCGGCTCTTTTGTTGGTCACGACGCCTTCTAATCTCTCTATATTCATCAGCCGATATTTGCATCTCGGGATCGACTGTTCTAGTTTCTCTTGCTCTGGTTGATGTCAGGACCTTAGTCTTTCCTTTGAGCAACTTAGCATCAACCATGTTCTAATCTCTTGGGAAAGGATTATCATTGACTTTCATCTTCTAAGGTGTATCGAATTTGAGCCTTCCTTGCTGAATAGCTCTTTGTATATGTTGCCGGAAAATTCTGCACTATTAGTGGAATGAGAAGTGGCGTTATGAAACTTGCAAAACTTATTATTCTTCAACTGATCAGGAGGCAACATAACATGATTGGCGGGCAACTTGATCTGTCCCTTCTCAAGCAAGAAATCGAAGAGCTTGTCCGATTTTGTGACGTCAAAATCATAGCTTTCTTCAACTCATTTTCTCTAAGGATTTGACACCATTATTGTCTTCTTACCCCAATTCCATTCAGCTGCAACAATCTCTTCCTCTTCTTCGTACTCATTGCTATCATCAACTGAATATGGATTTAGGCTTCGGCAATTACGGCGCTCTTTTGGAATTGGGTATCTCTGCGCATACTCTGGAATTGGCTATTGAGTGCTGCCACTCGTTGAGCCAACTGACCTAAATTGTCAAACTCTTACCCAAGCAGCTTCTCTCTCTATGCTGGCAACATTCCTTGAACGACCAAAGCAGTTAGCTAATCATTAGTTAGATTCAATGAGAAGCACAAATTTCTAGTCTCTCGGAATCTCTGAAGAAACTCAGTGCCCGATTCATTAGTTCTCTGCCTTATGGTCGTCAAATTGGTAATTTTCTTTTCCCCGATCCCAGTGTAAAAATATGTATGAAACTTTTTCTCTAGGTCAGCCCAACTGACAATGGAATTAACTGGCAACGATGAAAACCAAGTGAAGGCTGGTCCCGATAGGGACAAGGAGAAGAAATGAACTCGGTGAGCCTCCTCAATGAATGCTTCACCCAACTGTGTAAGATACCGACTGACATGTTCTATTGTGCTTATGCTATCCTGGCCAGTGAACATAGCAAACTCTGGGAGCCAATAATTTATAGGAAGAGCGACCAAATCATACCACTCTGGATATGGGCGTTTGTACGAGAAGGTCTGCCCTTTTGTCTTCAAACCGAACTGATTCTTCATCATCTCAGTCATTCTGAGGAACAACTCATCAGCACTTGAATCTAGATTTCTCTGCAATTGTTGACCCATATGCGGATTAAAATTTCAGGTACCTTGATACCCTGGATTTGGAATCATATAAAAGGTATTGTAATCTATGCCATAATGATACCCTTACGGAATCTCCATCTATTAGGTCCTTTACTGGTTGGCTACTTGAAGTCTCTGGTTGTAAATGTTGGGATCTATATTTCTACGAATCCTTTGAACTGATGGTGCTATTTTTTGAGCTGATGACGATATCTGGCCTGCTGTGCCAAAATTAACCATTTGATTTTGAACCTGCCCCATCGGCTATTGCACATGCTGCAAGGACGATCCAGGATTATACTACATTTGATTAGTAGTAGCACCCTAAACTTGCTCAGATGAGCTCTGAACTGCCTGGACATCATCATTACCAGCTAGTGCTGCTTCTTGATGGCTATTACTGGCTTGATTAGTCCCCTGAGTCGACGGATGTGGAATATTGTAGTAAACTGGTCCAACCTTATCAATTGGATATCCATGAAACACCTCTTTCATGTTGTTGTGGAATGTGTTCCAGAAAACTGTATTATGGTTCAATATGGCATTATGAACAGATTTGTTTACAGCCTCTATGAACAAATGCCTATCCTTAGCTTCATTTGTATCTGACTGCCAATGCAACAAAACTCTTGTTAGTGGATATTTCTAAACAACTTTATTGTCGCATGTCTTGGTGTAGGACAACAAACACTTGTTCTGAAATTCTTCTATAGCTTTACTGATGACATCTTTGTCCTCATCAGATAGGTCTTCAAAAGGCACCATAAGGATGTCACTGTTGTTGTGAGTTGCCATGACAATTGTGGGGTCCCACTAAGCGTGCCAGAATGTGTGTCGACGCAAAAATGTGTCAATGTGCCTGGCACATAGCAAGCCGAAAGGGTCTGCTTGATGGAGCAAGGCTAGAGATCCGCTTGGCTTCAATGCAGGGCTAGCCGATCCTGCGAATTCCTCCCGAAGGTGTGCCAGTCAACTTGACCTGCAATTGACAATGAGAGAAAGTTTATCAGTAATTTACGGTGGAACATGTCGGTTTTGCCCAGACAGTTCCAAGTGTGCCGCTACAAGAGCAGCCAGACGGGAAAATCGACTAAATAGCCGATATGCAAAGAAATCGACTGTTTATGGACTGTACTGCTCATGGGTTGCGATTGATTTTATGATGACAAGTATAATGTACGCAGACATAAGTAAAATCATAAGCTAGGTGGATATTACTGATGTAAAGCATTGAGCCGACGATTCTAACAAGATGGGATATAACATACGAACAAATCGATTATCTAGTACAAACAGGTCTACAAACGCTCTGAATCTAATCTATTACCACCAACAGTGAGGTTCGACCAGATCGATCGCAGCTATGATGATAGTAACAAACTAAACCGAAGAATCTATAAAACCGTCTATACATTGACAGGTTTTCTGTAAGACATGCCATATCTGTGAAAGAACAGATGAATCGGCTGAAATAGCCGATTCAAGTAGAAAAAGGGTCATAGCATATAAACAATCAACTATTCAATACGAGCAGACCTACAAACTCCTCAAATCTAAAATATTATCTTTAACAGTGGGGTTCGACCGGATCGATGGTAGCCATAATAAAGATAACAGATTAAACCTTTAAAGAAAACAGATCTATTCACATTTAACAGGGTCATGAAAACAAGCTATGTACGTTAAAGTGCGGGCGATCGGCTATTTATCCGATGCAGGTATAGCAAACAGTCAAGGCCACGCTGATCAAAAACAAATCTACCAACTAGCATCCCCGCCGTAGAAGACGCCCGGAGCCGGGGCGCCGCTAGGCGCCAAGACAGCCCCGGTGGCCGGAAGCGGCGGTAGGTGCGGCTGGGTACTAGGCGTCGTGTAGATGGGTTTCAACGAACCGGCGATCCAAGCCGGAAGCGGTGACGGCGACGGCGGGAACTTGATCTGCTGGATGGGAACGTCCTAGGATGGCAGTGGCACGGCTGGGAACGAGGTCGTCGCAGTCCCGTCGTAGGGCATCCCATACTGGTACGAGATGACCGGCGCCGTGGTCGCGACGAGGAAGGCCCTGATGCCCGCCATTGCCTGTCGTAATTCCAGGATTGCCGCAATCATCTGCTCCGGGGCAGAGGGCGCGATCGCCCCTGAGGACGCCAGCGCGCCCAATACTGGCGCGCTGATATATGGCAGCAGCGCCGACGAAGACGCTGGTGGCAGCGGGTGGACATGATCGAACCACATGATCGAACCAGAGATCTCTGATACCAGATTGTTATGTGGCTGCTAGGACTGAGAGGGAGAGTCGGCGATGGAGCTACAGTACCCGCGGGTACTGTTCACACGAGGGAGAGAGGGCAGGAACGGCTGGCTCCCAGGGAAGCCAGCAACTTAATTGTTGCTTCTTGCTTGACTATAACTGATAAAGGGTTCTCTTTTATAGAGATGACTGACTTGACCCCTAAGAAAATATCCTAACCGAATCAATCTAACATATATCTTTCCTAACAAACCAAACCACATATCTCTTTCCTAACAAACCAAACAATCTAATCTAATCTAATCACACGCTATAGTACCGCGTCACTACAGTACCGCGTGGGCCCCTTGGCCGGCTCCGGCTCTACTTGCCATAACACAGTTAGACATAAGTTCAAACTTCAAAGATCAATGATATGGCCGTAAATCCCAGAAATCACTAATTATCTATCGCAGGCGTCTGTATTCATCCAGATTTCCCCAGCTGTCTCTTCCTGATCTCTCTATGTATTAATGTATAGTTCTTTCTACTGCATGGCATAGCAAAACTCTAATGAAGATTGTCAGTCCGGCAATCTAATCCCTAACTGAAGCTCCAAATATTGGTTTCATTTTAATTCAACCAATAAAACTAACTCTTGAAGGTTCAAGTGCAGAAATTAGATTATTGTCCATGGCATTACTTTGAAAACTGGTAAAAAGTAACAGGCCATTGCTTTCTTTCGGGCCTGACCTGATGTTAAAAAGAGTGACACGTCTAAAGGGTTATTAATATATGACGCTGTCAATGTTACATTTGTTCTCATCACCACAAGCTATGAGTTTTTCGTGTAGTGTATCTCAAAAAAGAGATGTGAGTTTCTTTCTAAAAAAAAGAGGGAGAAATTTGAGTTTGTGACGGCAAGTCATAGGCATATATACCTCGAGGTGCTGCAGAGCTAGTGGGCATTCGCTGAGATACTTGACTGCCAGGGTAATGAGCACCGGCACGGAGTCCTCTGCAGGGATCATGAAGTCGATCATGTTGTCAGATATCAGCTCGTCAGTGAGCTCGTCGTTGTCATTGCCTAGCAGCACGTCGATCATATCACGTGGATGAGTGCCACGCATATGCTCGCCTTCGGCGATCATCTTCTTCCTCTTCTCTTGGATGATCATTTTTATCAACTTTGTCATCCTCTTCTTAGCCTGGGTAGTGTTTGATACCAGAGCACACATATGAAGCTTGTTTCCTTATATATAGTTATCGCAGTTCAGTTCATTGCAAGAAAGTATATAGAGGGGAAAATATAGGGTTCGCCGTGTTTACCCTTAGGGATCTATAGAGTTGAGTCCCCGGAAGCTTAACTGGAAGTGATGTCAAACCGGCAATGAATTCTTGAAATTGTTGCCTGAGGTACTGCATTTCGTCTCCTTCCTCTAGCCCAATCAGCGCTCTCACTAGGATTTCAAACACAATCTACAGAATGTTAGCCCGCAGGATCACCGGCTCAGGTGAGTGAACCACTCACCAGTCTTGTCGAGCACCCGCTAATATTGCCGAGCACCCACTAGCTAAGCCGACCACGAACAAGCGTTGTCCGTCCCCATACACTATGGCTAGAGGTTGAAGAAGAGAGAGAACAGAGCATACACACATAGTACAAGACACCAGCGTTAGCCGAAACCCTGTATGGGAGATGGTAAATCTGAACTCTCTTTATTGAGTTGCCGTGGTAGTCTATTTATATAACTCTATCCATCTAGTCCTAATACAATGCACAAGCTGCAACAGTAACTAGATAACACAGCAGGACTGACTTTTGCGCCTGTCCCTGCATGTGGCTACAGTGCGGCAGGTGAGTCGTTCGGCGCCTGCCTCTATAGCGGCTACAGTATCACAGCAGGGGGCCTTTTCGGCGCCGCCTTCTCTTGCTGTGTGTTCATACAAGGAAGCAGTAGATTATCTAACAATTCTTCCCCTAATCCTACTGCTATCCCTTGTACCCCTCCATGTCGATCATCTCCTTCAGCTCCGTGAGTCGAAGACGTCTGAGCGGCTTGGTGATGACGTCCGTGAGTTGCCAACCAGTTTCGACGAACTTGATGACGATCTGCCCTCCATCGACATAGTCCCTGAGGAAGTGGAACTTCACGTCGATGTGTTTGCTCTAGTCGTGCAGAACCAGATTCTTCGCGAGGGCGATGGCGGGCTGGTTGTCCACCATCAGTGCTGGTGGGTGAGCTTCCGCACTGGTCAGCTCGCCCAGCAACCGGCGCAGCCACACAACTTGGCACGCCGCTGTGGCCGCCGCTACGTACTCTGCCTCGCACGTAGATAGCGTCACCACCTTCTGTTTCAGCAACAGCCATGAAATTGGGGCTGACCCGAGGAAGACAAGCACTCCAGATGTGCTCCGTCGTCCATCGATGTCCCCCGCCATGTCTGCATCGTTGAACATAGTGAGCAGCAGCCTACTCCCACCAGTCTTGGGAAAAATGATCCCTTGATCCACCGTCCCCTTGACGTGGCGCAGTAGCCGGTTCACCGCAGCCCAGTGATCCTCTCTGGGATCCTCCATGAAGCAACTGATGTAGCCCACAGCGAACGCAATGTCTGGCCTCGTTTGGACTAGGTAGCGTAGACCGCCGACGATGCTTCGGTAGAGTGTTGCATCCATCTTCACCGCGGTGCTGGCCTTCATTAGTTTCAGCTGCTCCTCCATTGGAGTCACGCATGGCTTGCACTCAGCCATGCCGCTCCGCTCCAACAACTTGAAGGCATACGCGCTCTGATCGAGCATGAGTTCCTTCTTTCCCTGTCTCACCTTGATCCTGAGGTAGTAGGAGAGTGCGCCAAGATCGCTCATTCAAAAACGAGCTACCATCTCATGCTTGAAGTCGTTGCTGTCCTCCGTGCGCGCGCCGGTGACAATCAAGTCATCCACATACATGCTGACGACGAGCTCCTCCTTCCCCCATCGCCGCGTGTAGAGTGCGTGCTCGGTTGCGCACCACTAAAACCGAAGCTCGCCTAGCGTGGCGTCAAGCTTGGCGTTCCATGCTCGTGGGGCCTACCACAGCCCGTAGAGCACCTTGCATAGTCGGAGCACCCTGTGCTCCTCTCCCTTGATGGTGAAACCTAGAGGTTGCCTGACGAAGACTGTCTCCGCCAGCTCGCCGTTGAGGAAGGCCGATTTAACATCCAGGTGATAGACGCGCTAGTCCTTTGCTGCTACCAAGGCTAGTAGCAAACGGACCAACTCTATGTGCGCTACTGGTATAAAGACCTCCTCGAAGTCTATGCCCTCATCCGAAACAAAGCCTCGGGCAATGAGGCGCACCTTGTGTTTGACAATGGTGCCGAGCTTGTCCCGCTTGACCTTGTACACCCACTTCAGGCTGATCGGACGACATCCTAGAGGTGGATCGATGAGCTGCCATGTCTCATTTTCCTCGATCGCCTTCATCTCCTCTAGCATCGCCCGTCACCAGTTTCCATCGTGCTTGGCCAGCGCGAATGTGGGTGGTTCCTCAGCACTGACGAGCAGCAGCTCTTGATCATTGAGCAGCCAACTAGCTAGGCCTGAGGGCCCTATGCCACCGACGATGTCGTCCAGCCTGCGGAACCGCACCTCCTCCCATTCGTGGAAGGCATCCACGTACTCAGTGATGTCACTTGGAGGTGAGGTGAACTCGATCAGTGTTGATGGAGTTCCCTATTCCGCCAGAGTGCTCGGCACAGCACCTGGAGTGCTCGGCACCCTGGTTGCAGTGCTCGGCACTATTTCTGGACAGTTCGTTACGACTCCTGTAGTGCTCGGCACCACTGTCGGAGTGCTCAGCCTCAGTCTTGGAGTGGTTGGCACCACTGCAAGACCTCTTGGCTCCACCACGGGAGTGCTCGACACCCGTCCTAGAGTGGTCGCCACCATTGTAGAACCTCCCGGCGCCACTCCTAGCGTGCTCAGCATTCCTCCAGGAGTGCTCGGCATCCCTCCTGAAGTGCTCGGCACTGCCCCAGGAGTGCTCAGCTCTACCACTGGAGTGCTCGGCACTCCTCCCGGAGTGCTTGGCACCTCTTCCCCAGCGTCTCCACCACCATGGATGACCAGGTGCTCGATGATAAAGGTGCTGGTGAAGCCGCCAGCTTCCCCCGTGCTCTGACTGTTCTAGTCCCAAACTGCCTTCTCATCGAGCATGACGTCGCGTGAGACAAGTACCTTGTCTTCACGTGGGTCGTAGAGCCAGTACGCTTTGGTACCCTCCGTGTAGCCCAGGAACACCATCGGTGTGCTCCTGTCCTCCAGCTTGGTGAGGTTTGGCTTCGTCATCCTGATGTGGCCGATGCAGCCGAATGTCCGGAGGAAGGACATGCTTGGCTTGCGCCCATACCAAGCTTCGAACGGCGTCTTGCCCGTCAGGGCCTTGGTCGAAGCGTGGTTGAGGATGAACACCACCGTGGTCACCACCTCACCCTAGAACCTTGCTGGCATGCCTTTGGCCTTCATCATGGATCAGGCCATGCCAACCACCGTCTGGTTCTGTTGCTCCACCACGCCATTCTGTTGTGGCAAGTACGGTGCGGTGTGGTGTCGCACCACACCCTGATCCGCGTAGTACGCAACAAACTCCACCGAAGTGAATTCGCCGCCACGATCAGTCCTCGGCACGCGGAGCTTCTTGCCGCTCTCGGCCTCCGCACGCATCTTGAACTTCTTGATCGCCACCGCCACTTCGTCCTTGCTCGTCAGGAGTTGCAGCCACATGTAGCAACTGTAATCATCCACGAGCAGGAGGAAGTACCACCGACCACCGTTTGTAGCTGGCGTGATCGGCCCACAGAGGTAGCCGTGGACGAGCTCGAGAGCGTCCTTCGCGCGATACTTGGCCGCCTTTGGGAATGGTAGCCTCCTCTGGTTCCCGGCCAGGCAGCTGTCACACAGCTCGCCTTTGTGCTTGATGTGGGGTAGCCCTCGGACCATCTTCTCCAGCCGACCAAGCGCGTCGAAGCTGAGATGTCCGAACTAGGCATGCCATATTCACGGTTCCTCGGTGTGCCTTGCCGCGAGGCACACCGGCTGCTCTACCTTTAGGTCGAGCAGGTACAACCAGTTCAGGGACCTCTTCACCTTGGCAAGAAGTCGTTGTTCCCAGTCCCTGATCCTAAGGACTTCGTCCTTGATCAGTACCTCGCTACCGCGCTCATCCAGCTGACCAATGCTGATGATGCTGGAACGCAGCTGCGGGATGTAATATACATCCGTTAGCGCACGGTGCTCCCCGTTCTGGCACCTAAAGATGATGGTGCCGCGCCCTTGGATTGCTACCCATGAGCCGTCACCAAACTTCACCGTACCAGTAACATCGTCGTCAAGCTCGGGAGAAGGATGCCTTGGATCCCGTCATGCGGTTGCTGGCACCAGAGTCTAGATACCACCGCTGCTCCTGGTCGGCGCCCACACATCCGAGGTGGACTTGGGTGTGCTGTTCGTCGAGGTTGACAATCTTCAGGGCCTTCCTAGGTCCTTCAACCATCGTCGCCTCTTCCCTCTCCTCGGCCTCGACGTCGTACAGTGCACAGAACATCGCCATCTGGATAGTGGCCTCATCTTCATCATTAGCTTACGCCAGATGAGTCTCAGCCTTCTTGTCCTGCTTGCGATTTGGGCACTCCCGTGCCCAATGGCCCATCTTTCCACATCATCGGCAGGCGTTGGGGTCGACATGCTTCTTCTTCTTCGAAGAAGCCTTACCGCGGCGCTTGCCATCGCCACCATGGCTGGAGGAGGCTGCCTTCCCGGAGTTCCTCTGAGCAGCCCACTCCTCCTCTGTCAGTAGCAGTTTGCCGCTGTCCTTCGTTGTTGTCGCCTGCTCCAGGCGCTCGTCCACCGCCTGCTGATGGCCTGTCACATCCTCAATGGTGAGGGTGGACAAGTCCAGCATCATCTCTATAGAGAGAGCGATCTAGATGTACTTTGCCTACACGGAGTGGAGGTACTTGGAGACCGCCTCCTCTTCATCGATGGTGACGCCGTGGCTCTTCAGCTTGTTGATGAGCGTCTGCAGGTAGAGGGAGAAGTCCTCCACCATTTCACCATCCTTGAACTTGAGCTTGGCGTACTCCTGCTTCAGAAGCTGGGCCGTCGCCTTCTTTGTACGGTCGGAACCGACGCGCATCGCTGCAATAGCCTCCCACGCCTCCTTAGCAGAGCTCTTCGCCCCCAACGGCTCCCTGTACTCCGCCGGTACAGCAGCGAGGATAGCCTCCAACACTGACATGTCATCTTCCTCATTGTCAGTGCCCTTGTCAACTGCATTCCAGAGCCGTCGGGCTCTGAGCTTGACCTTCATGGTCACCGACCACTCTTCATAGTTGGTGCAAGTCAGCGTCGGCCAACTGGTGCCGCTGACCTTCCACACCATGTGAACAACGACCTCGGTCGTGGCTGGGCAGCCACAACAGTGCCACTGCTGTCGTCCATTTCCGAACCGCCCGTCATCGCCAGCGGTTAGTCTAGCGACGGCGCTCGTACGGCTCTGATACCACTTGTTAGCCCATAGGATCACTGGCTCAGATGAGTGAACCACTCACCAGTCTTGCCGAGCACCCACTAGTGTTGCCGAGCACCCACTAGCTAAGCTGACCACGAACAAGTGTTGTTCGTCCCCACACACTATGGCTAGATGTTGAAGAAGAGGGAGAACAGAGCATACACACACAGTACAAGACACCGGCGTTAGCCGAAGCTCTGTATGTGAGATGGCAAATCTGAACTCTCTTTACTGAGTTGCCGTGGTAGTCTATTTATGTAACTCTATCCATCTAGTCATAGTACAGCGCACATGCTGCAACAGTAACTAGATAACACAACAGGATTGACTTCTGCGCTTGTCCCTGCATGTGGCTACAGTGTGGCAGGTGAGCCGTTCGGCGCCTGCCTCTGCAGCGGCTACTGTATCACAACAGGGGACCTTTTCGACGCCGTCTTCCCTTGCTGTGTGTTCATATAAAGAAGCAGTAGATTATCTAATACAAAACCCATAAAATTGATAAAATCTACTGTTAGAAGAGCTCAATGGCAGCAAAAGTTGGTCATCAGCAACATCCACAAACCTATTAAGTAAAAAAAAGGATGGTACGTAACAATTATTAGTTGCCTATAATAAAACGTCAAAAAGATGTAAACATTGAACACTACATCCTCCGTCCTCCAATATCAGGTATTCATCATTTCATCAGGCATTCAAAATATGTGCTCTCTAAATATAAGGTATGGATTTTGTTTGGATAATACATGGTACTTTTTTTTGGTACAGCCAATTAATCTCTCGTGACTTCATGTGCAAATCAATGTCTGCATTTCTTTAAGGAGAGGTACATGCGACTTTTCTCATCTTCCATAAAATTAAATGTCCTAAAAATCTTATGATTTTCATCATTTCTTATTATCCAAACAAACTACATCTCTATCTTTATCTCTATCTCTATCTCTATCCTAAAATATATCCCACCTCTTTATTATATGTAGGAAATATCCCTCCATCCAAGCATGTCTATTGTGTGAGGATGATATGCGGTTCCAATCAAGCTGTGGGTAATCTTGGCGACCGCAATACTGTCCATGGCTCCATGCATGTGTACATATGGACAAAATGCTAACTCCCAAACCCGCGAAGCATCAATACTGACCTCGCATGTCGCATCCAGACGCACGCACGGCACGGCGCCCATGGATTCCGCGGCCGGGACCTCCCTATGGTAGCGACATGCCGACATGGGATGGGGCGCGCACACGTGCACGAGAATCGGCACACGTGTGGTGACGACCCAAGGAAAAACGCAGCTACTAGTCTATTTACGACGTCTACGTGCATGCAGTATGGACACAAGTACTGGATCGGCAGTCAGCAGTTCGCACTAATTGTAGTCAACAGGCATGGAGGGACGAGGAGGAGGACGACGGTGCTCGCGTCGCGTCGCGTCACGTACCGACCTGACCTCGTCCTGGACGCGCACGGGCGGTGCGCCGCCGCCGTTGCTGCTCATGCTCCGGTGGTGGCGCCTGTTCCACGCGTCCATGGCGCGGCCGACGCGGCGCTGCATGTCCGCGGTGACCTGCGCCTTGATCTGCGGCAACTTGAAGAAGGCGCCCGCGAGGCCGTGCACCCGGCGCTGCAGGCCGCCGCCGAGCACCAGGATGGACGACTGCCCCATCAGCTCCATGAGCGACAGCGGGTACCACGGCACGAACGCCGACGCGTCGGCCTGCAGCACCGCGCGCCTCACCTCCGGGTCCGACCTCACCACCGCCGGCGAACCCCACAGGTGCGACTTGAACACCCTGCCGTACCTGAGAATAATCGTCGTCCACAGTCGTCAATTATTCTTGCCGCCAAAAATTAATTAAAAGAAGGGAAAAAATAGAAACATTTAGGCTAGGTCGGGGTTAATGATATCTACTCACAAGAGGCGGCGTTTCTCGACGAAGGACTCCGGGCGGGGGGAATACGCAGCCCGGATGAACGCCAGCGTCTCGCCGAGGAGCGGCCACCCAAGCGAGCCGGCAGGGAGCCGTGCTCCGGCCGCGCCGCTCGCAGTTGCCTGCCTCCTAATTCCTGATGAAGACCAGGCACGGGGGACGAAGAGGCGCACGATGACGGCGGCGAGGAGCAGCACCGCCGTGACAGAGCCGACGGACGCTGGCCAAGAACCGCCCCAGATGGGCCACATCGCGCGCTGGTGGTTCTGATCGTCGATCTTCAGCGCTCTGTGTTGCAACTTGCAAGAGGAGTGACCAGTATGAAGCCCCGTGGAAACTATAGAAGAGTGCTTCTAATGGAAGGAGCCTAAACCGGCCGCCAGCTATATATGAAACTGCTCATAGTCTCGCTTCAATCTTTCATTTTTTATTTATTTTTTATTGTTTATTATTCATTAAAGATTAAATATAATTAAACCTCTGTTTGGATCCGCAAGTGCTAATGATTAGCCGCAAAAATTTAGTACTAGTAGATCTAAATAAACATGTTAATAGATCAACTAACTAGGGACCGCTTACTATTAGTTTTATTAGCATTGTGGGATCTTTGGCCATAGGTCTCCAAATAAAATTGTGTGGCTCATGGAATTTGTTCGGCTGTGTTCTTCTTGTTGTTGGGTTTAAAAAAATATCATTTCAAGTTGTCAAGCTCAGTCGGCATGTTGATCCAGCGTTGTGGCGATGATTGGGTCGTTAGAGAAGAGCTAGCACAGCTTGTTTTCGACCGTGATGAACCAAAGGAATATAAGGTGATGGGACCACACTTTGGCAACAATCATGCCTTCCACTCGTTGTGAATGTGCACGTAGATAGATATGCATTGTGTTGTGTGTGCGCCGTATGATGCATGATTAGCTGAGACCGAGACCAGGGTGGTTGGCCATCGCTACCATGCATCATGCATGATATGCATATACAATGCCACTCAAATAACACACCAAAGCATATATCGGGCCAAGTGCTCCTTCCTCGATTACCTAGGCATGCATGTCATGGAGCATCGCATATTAACTCGACCTTGAACCCGGACATGCATGTGCCTTCTTTTCGAGTGGATAGAGGGACTCTCTCTCTCTCTCTCTCTCTCTCTCTCTCTCTCTCTCTCTCTCTCTCTCTCTCTCTCTCTCTCTTATATATATATATATATATATATATATGTGTGAGAGAGAGAGAGGAGATTTTTGTTTTAACTTCAGGAAATTTCACAACCATCTTCACGGTCTTTAGTTTTGAGGAGAGAAAGATTCCTCACGTGGCTCACACATGGATGCATGGCAGTATATCTTAACAGACTTGCTAGCACCAGGATGTCCAACGAGCGAGCGAGCACCCCAGCGTGTTGGGCTTGTGAGCAACCGCCCCAACAGTAGGCCCGCGCCGCCCCAGGCATCGCCCGTGCCATCATCCGCTTACCATGCACATTACATCCGGGAGCGTTTCTTGGGCAACCGGCCGTGTACTTAGGGCAACACGTCGAGCGCGGCTGGGGCTATGCCGGGTGTAGTAGCTGTTGTGCCAGGTGCAACCACGCGCGGCAGCGGTGGGCGCAGATGGCAGAGGCGTCGGAGATGTCGGCACCGACTGAAGGGGTACGACACCGCTGCGGCAACGAGTGTTGCCACCGACAGTCACGGGCGATCGACAGGGGCCGCCCAAACGGCATCGGACTTCACCTATGTCGCTGCTGGAACTGAGGCAAGGCACGGTGGGCTGACCAACGCGACGGGCATGGTTGTACCCGACCCATTGACGCTCACGTTGTACCTGGGCGCCACGCAGGATCGTGACATCTCGGAGGACTCGATGGTTGAGGAGTTCGTAGCCTCGCTCGTCGGTAGTCAGATCGTCGCGTGGCCTTCCCTTGAGCACCTCCCGTCAACTTCGGCGACCCCCCAACTTCCGGATGAGGCACCAGTGGTGGTGGCCCCGAGCTGGAGGATGTGGTAGCCTCCTGTGTGCTGCGGACACCACCCCCACTCCCCATTCAGTGGGCAGTGGACTCGCCGAAGCCACATGCGGTCGACCTCACGGTGGATGGCCCTTCTAGTTCACCACCAGGGGTTACCCACCAGGCTGTGGACAACGACGACTCCATCAAATGATGCCTCGGTGAAAGCTCTAGTTTGGTTTTGATGAATTGATGAAACCCTAAGTGCTAACCTAATTTATCAAGTGATCATGAGATAGGTAGCACATTCCAAATGGTGAAGCAAATGAAGATCATGACATGATGATGGTGATGCCATGGTGATAATCAAGTGCTTGGACTTGAAAAGAAGAAAGAGAAAAACAAAAGGCTCAAGGCAAAGGTATAAATGATATGTTTTAGTGATCAAGAAACTTAGTGAGTGTGGTCACATTTAGGATTGATAGCCGTACTATTAAGAGGGGTGAAACTCGTATTGGAATGCGGTTATCAAAATGTCACTAGATGCTCTAACTCATTGCATATGCATATAGGATCTAGTGGAGTGCTAACACCCTTGAAAATGTTTGTGAAAATATGCTAACATATGTGCACAAGGTGATACACTTGGTGGTTGGCACATTTGAGCAAGGGTTAGGAAACTTCACCGGTGGAGTGTCCGCCCGTAGAGTGCGGACAGTCCAATGGTGCCACCGGCGCCCTAGACAGAAAAGACGGAGGTCACTGTAAGTATCCGGACGCTGGTCTCGGTTGGACCGGCACGTCCGGTCAGTAGAAGCTGCTGAGACGCTAGCGTCGGTCTCTGACCGGACGCTGGAGGGTTGCGTTCGGTCCTGCTGATGTGGCAGTGCACAGGGGAGTCGCCATGTGACCGAGCGCTGGGTGTGTCCGGTCGAGCATGACCGGACGCGTCCAGTCATGAAAAGTCGTCTCTGGATGCTTACTGGAAATAACCGGGCGCTGGGGTTCAATGTCCGGTCACTTTGAGCTGCTGCGTCTGATCGTCACTTGACCATTGAGATCGGGCAATCAATATTTAAAGAGAGGGGACACGTGGCACGCATTGCGTGACTGGACGCTGAGGTCCAACGTCCGGTCAATATGACCAGAGCGTTCGGTCACCCCTCGTTGTGCTCAGTGAAGGGGTACAACGGCTCTATTTCGTGGGGGCTTCTATTTAAGCCCTATGGCCGGCTCAAGCTCTCTCTCTTGGCCATTCGCATTGACATAGCAACCTTGTGAGCTTACCCAAAGCCCTCCCACTCATCTCCATCATTGATTCATCATCTTTGTTAGATTGGGAGAGAATCCAAGTGCATTGCTTGAGTGTTTGCATCTAGAGGCACTTGGTGTTCGTGTTTCGCTGCAGGATTCGCTTGTTACTCTTGGTGGTTGCCGCCACCTAGACGACTTGGAGCAGCGAGGATCGTCGAGCGGAGGTTGGTGATTGTCTTCGGTTCCGATCGTGGTGATTGTGAGGGGTTCTTGACCTTTCCCCGGCGGAGAGCCAAAAGGTACTCTAGTGGATTGCTCGTGGCTTGTGTGATCCTCATCTTGTGTTGGTTGTGCGGCACTCTATTGAGGGTTTGGCGTGTGATGCCAATTAGCGTGTGAACCTCCAAGTGAGTGAATCACCAAAACGAGGAGTAGCTTGTCGGCAAGCAAGTGAACCTCGGTAAAAAAATCATTGTATTCATCATTTGATTCCGAGGTGATTGGTCTTCATTGGTATTCATTCTTGTGGTTGATTGGCTCCTTCCTCGACATGGCGGTATAAACAAATTGCTCACTCTCTTTACATTACCGCAAACTAGTTGTCAAGCTCTTTAGTGTAGCTAGTTGTGAGAGCTTGTTAGTTTGGTTAGTGTGGCTCTTTAGTTAGCCTTTGAGAGCACACTAACTTAGTATAGTGACATAGCTATTGTGTGGATAGAAACTATATAAACTAGAATTGTGGTAGGTGGCTTGCAATTTTAGTAGGCTAGCGCAACACTTGCTTCGCCTCATAATTGTCTAACCAGTTTGTTAAGTGTTGTTGTAGAAATTTTTAATAGGCTATTCACCCCCCTCTAGCCATTAGGACATTTCAAGTGGTATCAGAGCTGAGGTCACCGTGATTTGAGGCTTAACAACCTTAGGTGTAAAAATGGCTCAAATCAACAACACAAAGAAGCCGCCCCAATTTGATGGCACAAATTATCCTTATTGGAAGTCAAAGATGACCACACATATCAAGTCAATCAATAGAAAAGTGTGGAAGGTGGTAGAAACCAAAATTGAGATTGGTGATCCGAAAAATCCCACCACGGCCGAAGAAGTGCTTCTCCAAAACAATGACATTGCTCTAAGTGTCATTCATGATGCAATTGATGAGAGAACATTTGAGCAAATCAAGAATATTGAGATGGCTCATGAGGCTTGGAAGAAGTTGGAAGAATCATTTGAGGGCACTCAAGCCGTGAAGGGTGCAAAGGCATACATTCTCAAAGAGAAGTTTGCAAGCTTCAAGATGAAGGAGGATGAGAGTGTGCCGGAGATGTTCCATAGGCTTCAAGTGCTTGTTAATGATCTCAAAGCTCTTGGACAAGAGGTGAAGGACAAGGACTTCTCCCACAAGTTCTTGAGATGCTTACCTTCAAGATTTGGCACATTAGTCACTATTCTAGTGAGGAGTGGTTTGGACACCATGACACCAAATCAAGTGTTGGGAGATATAATGGCTGATGATACATATAGAGATGATGATGAGAAGGAAGAAAAGAAGGAAAAGAAAGATGAGAAGAAGGATAAGAAGAAGAAGAGTGTGGCATTCAAGGCCACATCATCCAAGGGCAAGGCAAAGCAAGATACATCAAGTGAAGATGATGGTTCAAGGGATGATGATGATGAGAAGATGGCTCTCTTTGTCAAGAAATTTGGCAAGTTCATGATGAAGAAAGGGTACCGTGCTAGAAGAAAGAAATCTTCATCCAAGAACAAGGACGAGTCAAGAAGGTGCTTCAAATGTGGAAGCAAAGATCATCTTTGTCGATGCTTTGGACCGGCGGATCCTCAACCAACTAGTGAAAGTGTACTGCGTGCCCCTAATCCGGGATGGTGATGCAAAGAGACACAAGGTTTATACTGGTTCAGGCAATAGGTGCCCTACGTCTAGTCTGAGAGAGCAATCTTGTATTCCTTGCACCGAGGTGCTTGTAGTAGGGGTTTACAAGCAGGGTGAGAGAGGGAGTTAGTCCTAGGTCTCTACGTGGAGCGGCGTGGGTT